AGGCCCCGAGCATGGCCCAGCCGGGCCCCGCGCCGCCCGCCCCGGCGCAGCTGGTGCAGAAGGCGCACGAGCTGATGTGGTACGTGCTGGTCAAGGACCAGAAGCGGATGGTCATCTGGTTCCCAGACATGGTGAAGGATGTCATCGGCAGCTACAAGAAGTGGTGCCGAAGCATCCTCCGGCGCAGCAGCCTCATCCTGGCCCGCGTGTTCGGACTGCACCTGAGGCTGACCAGCCTGCACACGATGGAGTTCTCGCTGGTCAGAGCGCTCGGGCCCGAGGAGCTGGACCGGATGGCGCTGAGCAACCGCATGCCCATGACCGGCCTGCTGCTCATGATCCTGAGCCTCATCTACGTGAAGGGGCGCGGCGCGCGCGAGAGCGCCGTCTGGAACGTGCTGCGCATCCTGGGGCTGCGGCCTTGGAAGAAGCACTCCACCTTCGGGGAGGTGCGGCGGCTCATCACCGAGGACTTCGTCCAGCAGAACTACCTGAAGTACCAGCGCGTGCCCCACGTGGAGCCCCCCGAGTTCGAGTTCTTCTGGGGCTCCCGCGCCAGCCGCGAGATCACCAAGATGCAGATCATGGAGTTCCTGGCCAGGGTCTTCAAGAAAGACCCCCAGGCCTGGCCTTCTCGCTACAGGGAGGCTCTGGAGGAGGCCAGGGCCCTGAGGGAGGCGGACCTCGCTGCCCACTACCCCCACGCCAGTGTCTCCCAGGACTAGCCAGGTCCGGGGGCGCAGCGAGGTCCCGGCCCCCCAGGGCGGCGAGCGCGGTGGGGCTTTTCAGAGCAGAGATTCCCGTGCCACACTTTAATCTTCAGCACAGTGCTTTTATACCTTTTAATGCCATGTCGTACTCATCCCGGCCCCGTAGCTAGCGCGTAGATTCCTGCATGTGTTTCTAAGTGAGCTCAGTCGGTGCTTTGGCTTTCGTGCTACCTTGAATTTTTGTACCAGAGGTGTGCTAAAATGACGAAGTGCGTTGAGAAGTTCTCCATCTTCTTCTTTTCTATGGGACGGATGACGGATGTGCATCGGGTGGCCTGCCTCTGGACAGTTTGGAAGAAAAGCAGAGCAAAGGCAAGGCGCCCTGTGTCTGTGACCCGGCTGGGCACAGGCAAGGTCCGGGGCAGTGCAGAGATGAGGGCTGGGCTGGCCTCGCGTGGGCATTTGGCACACTGTACCCAGCAGTAGACCCCACCACGAGTAAACTTTAAACATTAAAGATCCTTGTGATACAACCAGTTTTGGAAAAGCGTACTTTCGTCTCTCACGAGGTCACGTGGGCTGGCAATGAGACGTGTTACGAGATGTGCAAGGATCCTAACTATTTCGGCTATTAGGGTGGGACAGTCACTACTCATTACTCATAAATGTGTGAACTTTCTAGTTTTCCGAAAGTGTAACACGTGTTCCTTTCCAAAATGTGACAGATACAGACAAGTATAAAGGCAGGAACGCAGAAGTGCCCGTAATCACGTCTCAGAAACAGGGACCGTTAATACCCACAGTAATTTCCTCTCTCGCATTTTCTACACTTTATAAAATTGGTGGCTGTTTTCCGTGGGCACCTAGTCGCGCTAAACCCTTTCCATGCATTTTCTCGTTTTACTGCACCCACAGGACAGGCGGGGTGGGGGCGGGGGGTCGTGCGGGAGGAAAGTGGGTAAATGCCTCGCCCTGGGTCATGAAGCCCACAACGGCCCCCCACCTTCTGCCTTTCGGTTTACTTCTTAAGATTTCACAAACACACGAGCCTAAGGATTTCATTTTTCTAATAAACGCTCACATTAACCTCTTAGAAAGTGACCACATTCTGATTGTCCAGATTAAGAATCCGCTTCAGAGAGGTTGGCGGACTCAACTGAGTCACACTCCCGCTTAGTGGTGAAGCCGAGACTGGAAATGCCCCCCCCTGGGGCGAAGGACCGAGGGGCAGCGTTCTCTGGCCAGAGGGGCACATGCGGGCACCTGGGCGAGGGAGGTGGGGTGGGGGGATTGCCTCGGGACGCAGGCCACCGGGAAAACGAACCCTCATGGGGTGGGAGGCAGGGAGGGGGTGAGGGACGGTCACGAGAAACCTCAGGAAGGTGTCAGTCTTGCAAGGAAGGTTGGAAAAGACCATTTGGTCCAAACCTAACCTGGGAAACACGGGCAGTGGGGGCAGGGGGAACACATGTGACATCACCTCCGAAGAAGTAACTAAAGAAATTCTACTCAGGTGAGGGGATTCTGGCCTGGGAGCCAGGTGTCCCTCACGGTGGCAGTGCCGCCCAGCTGGCTGCAGATGCTGAAAATGCTTACGCCTCTTGTGTGCCCACACGGACCCCGTCCCCAGTGTATTGGACGTCCTGGAGACTCTCCCACGGGGGAGGGGGACCTGTTAGGCCACCTCTAAGCCACAGCCAGAGTGTGTGTTTAGAAATGTTGGAATTGTTTAAAAAAACGACCTTCCCCTCCCTCTCCTCCTGCCAGTTTCTGCAGAATCAAAACAAACTCACTGCTTTAAAATGACGGGGCTGTCCAGGAGGTTGTGTTTCTGGAGCAGCGACACAGCTGTCACCCCCGCCACAGCGAAGGGCTGGTCATTTTCTCCAATGCCCTAACACGTCCCTCCCTGCTGGGCTGGCTCCTCGCACGGCCGTCACTGCAAACTCTGCAAACTCGGGAGCCACTCGCCCCCCCCACACACACTTCACTCCCCATGTTTGTACATCTCTGCCAGGAGGGATGGGAGACAACTCCAAAGCCACCCCAAGCTCGCTGACACAGCACATCAGCCCCATCACGAAGGACCAGCCCACCAGAGAAGGTCAGGGGCAGAGCAATGAGCCGCTGACCCCAGCAAGCCGTGCGGGCAGGCTGCTGAGCCCCTGTGCCGTCCTGGAGCGGCCAGCCACCTCCAGACACTTCCCAGCGGTGAAGCAGTTAATTCGCGATGCCTGGCTTTGCGAGGGAGGGGACACTTGGTATCTCAGATTCTCACGCTAGGCTCAACTGAAAGGTTGGATGACTTTGTCAGATATTTCCCAAAAGGTCCCCCGACAAAGTGCGGGGGAGGTCGTGCGGGAACGGATCTGCAGGTGGCCCACGTCCCAGCCCGACTCCCCCTGGGAGAGGCACCCAACCCCACGACGCGCGAGCTCTTCTCCCCCTGTCCTGCCCACGGCGGCCCCGTTCTTCCCAAAACCCACACACCCGTATCACGGGGACCACCTTGGTTTTGTTAAAGTCACAGAGGGCAAAGAGGACCTCGGTAACCCTAAAATCAAATATGAAGTCCTGACATGAGCTCTTCTGAGACTCTGGTAGCATCACTATTAAACAGGGAAGACATTTAAACGAGCATCTATACAGTCACGTGTCCCCTCTGCTTGAAAAGCCCTGCGTGGCGTCCCCCCCCCCACCCCGTTGATTCTCATTCTCTCCAGTACATGTTCTTTCGACACGTCGTGATGCCTGTAAATTAGTTTGTCTCTCTCTTC